CAGGGGGAAATTGACTAAAATGTAGCCATGTGCTGAAGTTTTCTCAGGCTAAGGAAGACTTCAGGCCACCATAATCTGAATTTGCCCTAGTTGCTATTTAGATTCTGATTCTTTGTATCGGTAAAATCATCCTTCCGGAGATTTACCCCCCCCCCCCATGTTATTTTCACAAAACTTCTTTTCAGCCCCCCCCCCCCAATTGATATTGACATAACTGCTCTTGCCACAAAGGGATAAGTATTTACTGAACCAGTGAAATGCATAATGCTTTTTGAAGATTTGGAGAACCCTGCAAAAAATAATGACAACCATAATTCAGAGGGCAAGTGAGTCCAAATCCATCTCTTCGTGACTCCGCTCCAAGTCGACATCATTATCAACCCAGCAGCTCCACTCCAAGAACTCGGCTACAATGTTCAATCAATGTCAAGAATATTTGGGGTGCTAGCTATTGGGAGAAAATGGCCTCACAACGTGTCAGCTTGCAGTTTTCCGAGCAGATCCATCATAGGCCTTTCCTTGGCCATTCTATTTGTAGTCCTGGCTGGAACATAAAGAACAGAAAGAGAAGGAGAAACAGTGGCCATTTCCTACAGAAAGCACCATTTCATTTCCTGGACAAATTATAATGCGGGAGAGCAATGCAGTGATACTAGATGAAGAATGCATCCCATAGATGGAGGTTGTTGGGGGTTTTTTGCCTGTAGCTCACTCTTTGGTGAGATATACAGAATTCTCAAAAGCAAAATGTGAGGCATGAGGCTTCTCTCTACTTGCCTATTATTTTTTTCACACCTGACAAATGTATTTCATCGACTGAATTTGAATTGCTAGTTTATATTTCATACAGGAGGATCCTGTTTTTTGAGGATCACGAAACCGCGGAGGAAATCGGGCGAAGCCGTGGGTCAAAATGCGGCTGCGCGGCTTCGAGTGGGAAATTAACCAATAGAACCATGGCACGGCTCTTGTGTGAAATCGGTCTGGGTCTCCTCTGACAGGCTGTTCCAAAACACTGGACCAGCACGGTGTAGTGATTAAAAGCAGCAGACTCTAATCTGGAGATGTGGGTTTGATTTCCCATTCCTCTGCATGAAGCCTTGGGCCAGTCACAGTTCTCTCAGAACTCTCTCAGCCCCACCTACCTCATGAGGTGCCTGTTGTGGGGAAAGGATGGGAAAGGCGATTGTAAGCTGCTTTGAGACTCCTTAGGGTAGAGAAAAGCGGTGTATAGAATACTGCTCTTCTTCTTCTACCTGTAACCATCTAGTTGAATAGGTCCGCATGTGTTTAACAGAGCACAGTGAAAAACAGCAAATGAGACGGCCTAAGGCTTGTGTATGGTATGACAACAAGCACACAGGGAACAATGCAGCAACCTATTGTACATTTCCCAAGTGATGATCCATCAGGTAAAGCTAGCAGGCAGCTTGTATTTCTCACTGTGATGATTCAGCTTAGCAAGCAAGCCTAGTAGATGTATTTTCCCATGAGGTGATTCAGCTAGCAAGCAAGCCTAGCAACACGCCTCCCGGGCATAACCTGCGTGTTTCAAACAAATCTTCTTCAGGCGTAAATTTTTCTGGAACCACAGCTCTTGAATTTACCCATGCATAAGTCAAACAATGTAAACATGGCTGTTCTGGTTCTCCAATACACTAGAGTTGATGTTGTGTATAAAAAGCAAATATATTTAGCTATAAGTACATGTGAATATTGTGTTTATTATTTCAACACGGTGTTTTCTGTGTTTATCTTCTAGAACTAGCCACATGTCCCTGCCTTTCTGCAGCTTCTGTTAGAAGAGTAGCATTAGTGGCGGCAACACTGCTTCCTGAGAAGAACGTTTCTCTGCGTGTGCTTGCTGCAAATCCTTTCCTGCTGCTGTTGCGGGTGTCTTGTAGTACCACCCCACCCCGATATCCCTGCCCCCAAAGGCGGATAGCCATGGCCATCCCCATTTCTTCCACATTCTGTGTGAGGCAACCATAAATCTTGTTCTTCAGCATGTGTGCAGTGGAAGCGTGTTCTGTGGAGCTAAGTCCAGCACGTTTACATGTGTTACGTAATTGTTAGATTTCTTGGAGTATCGTGTTTCATTGTTTGCATACTGCTATTGCTTTTAACAGGAGATCAGCCATGATACCAAACGGTTTCGGTTTGCGCTTCCATCGTCAGAGCATATATTGGGCTTGCCTGTGGGTATGTATGGATGCAGTTCTGTGGAATCTGAGCGAGGCACAGCATAAAAATATTTATTTATTATTTATTATTATTCAAATATGTCTTCTATCCTTTAAAGAGTGCTTTACTAGGTGCTTTTGCCCCATGCAAGGTTCTCCCTGTCTAATTCATCTAGAAATGACTTCTGCCTTAAGGCTCACTTCCTCACAGTTGCCCTGGATTCATCCAGCTTCTGTACTATAGGCAAGTAACACTGGGATTCTATTTTTTGACTTTGCTTACTAGCTTGCCTTCTTCTGTGGCTGATACAGGCCCCATCATCCCACGAGTCTTCAGTATGTGTCAGAGGACTGAAGGTGGGTCTTGTCCGATTGCCAGTATGCTTTTTGTAGGAACAGTGTGGGTCTCTCTTATGCTGCTTCTGCAAAGCTAACTTGAAAGGGCGCTATGCCAGTGTTCTCTGCAAGATACTGAAAATGATATTTAAACTCTCCCCGACCTGGATAGCTCAGGCTAGTTCGATCTCATCAGATCTCGGAAGCTCAGCAGGGTCAGCCTTGTCTTAAAAAACAACTCTAGCTCACGATGGTGCATAACGCTAAAAGAGCTAGAACTGCTGGCTGCCAGACAATCTTAGGATCTCCTGGCTGTTCTACATGCATTGCCCCACAATAAAGTTTATTGTCTAAGGCCGAAGGCTGTTGCAGTCTGACACCTATAACATAATTACAAACATCAGCATTAAAACAATTTAACTAAAAAGTACTAATCAAATAAAAAGCATTGCCCTCTTTAGATGCAGCTGTAGCCCATATTTTCTTGGCTGCTAAAGCCAAGAGTGCCACCCTATAGGAGACAAGCGGATCAACATCTGAGAGAAGAAAAAGCAGCATCTCTGAGTCTGAAAAAAAGAATTAAGCCCATTGAAAGTGCTGTGAGGAATTTGGTTCTGGGCTCTATATAGAGAGGGCAGGATAAAATGTAGTGCGTTAGGTCCTCTGGAACTGAAGCTCCACAAATGAAAAGACATGAAGCCAGCAGTATTTGGGAGTAACGTCCAGCTAGCAGATTCTTCTGAATCTAATTTTCTAGGTACCAGAGGGAGATATTAACCAGGTAGGGAGTTCTAACATGGTTCCTTTTAATCAGATTACCAGGGTCATGCCACAGAGGCAGGCAATGGCAAACTACCTCCAAAATGTCTCTTGCCTTAAAAAAACAAGTCTAGCTCATCACCTAGTGGTGCATAATGCTAAAAGAGCTAGAACTTTAGGCTGCCAGACAATCTTAGGATCTCCTGGCTATACTACACACAGTGCCATGCTATACTAACACACAATGCCATACAATAATAATTACCATTACTGAAAATTTTGGGGAGGAATGTTTACCCTGGTGTGAGTATTTTTGGAGCTCTGAGAGTTGTTCTGCACCAACTGCTTAGATTCAGAAATTCAGTAGCCCAGTAACCAGTCCTAGATAGTAGTGTTTAACTTTCTGGTTCCTCAGTCATGCTGTGTGAGGCAAGTTACATGACCTGAAACAGAGCAGAGTAACCCGCTGCCCCCGTCTTACGCTGTCCAATACAGGGAGGACCCCTGAGATAGCTGTGGATCATCCTGAAGGTGATGCACGGCTGCATCTTAACAATAGTAACAAAATGAACAGAAGTTATTTACTAGAGACAATTTGGCCACTGGAGAATTATTCTTTATCTATGTGAAGTTATGTGAACTCCTTTATAGTAATCTTTGGGGCAACAGGGGTGAACAGAGACAAAAAAGCAGTTTTTAGATGTCAAATCATTCAAACGATGATGCCGACTCAAAAATAATGATATTCAAAAGAATAATATGAAATTCTGTATGTTGCCTTCATATTTTTCATATAAGTTTTTAAAAACAATGTGAGTGAAAATTGCTGTTAGGAAGAGTCTAAAGCAAAGGATATTGCCTAACTTTTGCTTGTTAACTTTGTGATACATTTTGGAATCTGCAGTGGAAAGATAACTATCTTTTTCTAGGTCAACATGTATATCTGTCTGCCAACGTTGCTGGCAACCTTGTGATCCGGGCCTACACTCCAGTTTCTAGTGATGAAGTGAAAGGCTATGTTGATCTAATTATAAAGGTATGTTTGAGCCGATATAATAAGGAAATAGAACTTAATCTGCTTATCCTAGTGCTTGCATCTTTTGTATAGTGTACAACATGTGCTTGGATGCCAAGAACAGGATGAATTTCAATAAACTGGATGATCCAGAAACTGGATGATCTTTGAATCTCAATTGGTTGCAGATGTGTGCCAGGAAATACCTTCTGGGTGGTGGTTTGTTGTTGCAGCAGCACCCCTGTGCCTGATTTATATATTTATTTATATCGTATGGTTTAACCAGAAGGTAATGAAAGCAGCTTATAACATTTTACAAAGGCAGTGTTAACTTCTTCTCTTGCCCCGCTCCCTCTTCTGTGTGTGGAATAGTATATTGAGCTGAAAGGTGGATGGAAAACCTGGTGACCTCCCTTAGGTGGGCAGTGAAAACGAAACAACTCCCTTAAATTAATACCCCCATTTATGTTTTATGTATGTTTGTTGTTGTATGTATTTGAAAATAAATTTTAAAAATCCTTAAAGAAAAGAAAAGTCGTAGGTGAAGCTGGTCTCGTCTTGGAGATAAGAGGTGGGGTTGGGGGCTGGCAGGTATTTGACCTACTAAATATCTGTGTATTATTAGGCTGTTGTTAAAGGCACAGAAACAGAATCAGAAACAGACACACAAACCCTATTAAAAATAATTGCCTGTTTCATCAAAATGACACTGGCTGAGGGACCATGTATGGGTAAATGGGGCATTTGTGTGAGTCGGGGCAGCGTCTTTCTGTTAACTGGACTGGAAGATGCCTAAAGCATATCTGCAAATGGGGTAAGGGTTAATAGTAGAAGCTGAAGAAGGGATTATCCCACAGTAGGCTGGAAGAAGCTCTAACAGCCTAAGGAGGCTGAGGGAAGGCATCAGACTTGGTTGGTAGAGCGGCAGGATACATGCCAAGGTGATATTATATTGCTTGCTCACAATGCTGCAGTGGTATTCTGTTACCGTAAACCTTTTTGGGGAGGGAAGGATTTTCTGGATCTTATTGCTTACTCTTGTAAAAATGGACACCTGTGCAGTTGTTTTTCCCTCTCCATTGCATACCACTATCATCTGAAAGTAAAATGGCTAAAAATGTATTGCTAGCTGTGTATTTTTTTTTCCCCTTCCAGGTTTACTACAAAAATGTTCATCCCAAGTTTCCAGAAGGTGGGAAAATGTCCCAGCATTTAGACAACATGATAACTGGTGACACCATAGACTTCAGAGGACCTAACGGGCTCCTGGTATATAATGGATCAGGTATTACAATGGCAAAGGATCCAGATGTTACGTTGATGATAATGGTGAAGGACAATTTATCTTTCAGGCCAGTTTGTCCAGCTTCCAGAGACTGAAGTTTGTCCTTGGCTCAGCTGTATGAAGGGAGAGTGTGTGATATGGTTTTGAGGTCCCTCAAAAGGCTTAGGAGGAAATCTAATGGCTCGGTCTCTAATAATAATACTGGAGACTGTGTGGTGATATTTTTGATTGATTGATTTTAATTTGATTTACATCCCGCCCTCCCCCGCAAGCAGGCTCAGGGCAGGTCACAATGTATCAATTGGCACAAAATAGTATTAAGCATTACAACAAGCGATAATTTAAACAAGTTAAAATAAAATGACATATAAGAACAGAGTTACAATCAGATCAAAACTAGATGATAGCGATGGGCTGAAATGACTGAGAAGGAGGGAGAGAGAGGAGCAGCGTTGTAGGTGTCCACTGAAATGACCTGCTGCAGAGTTGCTCTCTTTTCTCAGTGCTGTGGCAGCATCCAGGATCTCCACTGGATGAAAATGATTCCATGACCCATTCAATGTTTTGAAACTGGAAAATCTGTCAGATGGAAAGGTCAGCATGCCATAATTGATGCAGGCTACCGTTTCTTGGAGCTGCAGAATGGAAGGAAGTTTAGATCTCTGTTTCTGCCTGGCACTGACCTGCACTAAACATGTGTGGGAGATGAGGCTTTAAAAAAATCATGGTGGAATATATGAGATTTTTGGACTGATTCTGGGTGATGCTGAACTGTTCAGGCTGTTATGGGCACCGATGGAAACTGGCATATCTTCATTAAAACGTTTAAATCAGTGGTCCCCAATCTTTTTGAACCTGTGGGCACCTTTGGAATTCTGTCACACAGCAGTGAGTGCAGCCTCAAAATGGCTGCTGCAGGAGGCGGAGCCAGCCACAAAATGTCGGAGTGAGGTCATGCATAGCTCTAATAGTAACTCTTCAACATCCGAGGCGGAAGCTCTGTTTTACAGGATGCCTTTTAAAATTAACATATTATTTTAAAATATTTTCTGGCATAAACATAGCTTACTTCGGCCGTGAAGATTCTTGTGCTGTGGTGGCACTGGCAGCTACTGCCAAAGCAGCTTCTAAAAATTTGCACAGCTAGTTTGGTCTCCAGTCAGAAGATCTACTGGGGAAAAGTTTAAAAATACTTAGTGGGCGCCAGGAAGGGGGTTAGTGGTTGCCATGGCTCCCATGGGCACCATGTTGGGGATTCCTGGTTTAGACCTTTGTCAACTTCATCTTTTTTTTTTTGAATGGAGAAAAATGAATAACTTCTCTTCATCACACAATTTTCTATTGCATTTTACTAGCTATTGTTGCAAGAATGAAAACCTTTCACGGTAGCCAGTCTAGAATCTAATTTCTTCAAAAGAAATGCAGACAGACCATGTAGACAACGCAGTAATCCTGGATTGCAAATCTTGGAGAAATCACGCAGGCCAGGAGTTGTCCTGTCACCTGTAGCCTGGATGGAGAAGGGCTCCCTTTTATAATATCCAGCTGCTGCACTGACAGTCACCTCTGAGAGGCAGCTGACATTGAGGCTGCTGTTTTGCTTTTGAAGATAACGGTGCTTGTCTCTTGCTCCTTGGTTGGGAGTCTGTAATTTGATGCGTTTGTGATGATCTGCTGGGGAAAGCAACGTGCATCCCAGTGAGTCCTGTGGTTACGGAGTTGACAGACTGAGACTTCTTCTGGTGACCTCTTACAAGCTGCTGTAGCTCTCTCGTGGCTTGTGTGTGTTAGCGAGAGAAAAGAAGGGAAAGGACACCCCATATTGTTCAAATTTTGGGCAGAGGAAGATACGGTAGTGGGATTTGGATTGGCCAGGCGGCCAGACAAATAAGGGTTGTCCATCCCCCCTTTCTTGTTCTCCTGTCCAGTGGGACTCAGGTTGCCGTGGTAGCTTTATCAAGTGTTGAAATGATAATTCCTTAATACTCTGAACTGATAATTCGATAGAAGGGGCCTAGTTAATGGAAGGTGAATCCGGGTAAGACAAAGGTGTTGGTGGCATGTGACTGTGGATGTGGTGTCCCATGTGTCTGTGTAGGGGCTGGATTCCCCTTTGTGAATCAGGTTGACAGCTCTGAGATGCTTCTTGATCCAGCGTTCTGTATGGATATTAAAATGGCATCTGTTGTACAGAATCTTCGTTCTCCAGCTTTGCAAACTACATCCCATCCATGAAAATGTGATCTCTCCACAACTGTTCATTCTTTAGTGATACCTAGGCTTGATTATCGTAGTACATTTCACGTGGTACTGCTTTTGGAAGCTTGTTGGTTCATAATGCAGAGGCTAGGTTGTTTACTGAGCCCCCACCATAATGAAAATATCATACATAAATGAAGATGTTTCTTTGGTTTGTTTCTTTAAAGTTTTGAACAATCTTGGGCCAGGATTCCTGAAGTGCTGTAACCCTCCTGTATGAACCTGTCAGTCATCTGAGACCTTTCTCTGGATAACCCTCGCCTCAGAGATTGGCAACCATGGAGAGGAGGACCTTTGCTTGGGCTGTGCCCCAGTTATGGAGCTTCTTCCCATTATAGAGACTTATCTGACACTGAATCTAATTTTCTAGGTACCAGGTGAACTCTGTCCTGTCTTCCTGAGCTTTGTGATATAGTTAGTTCTGTTTGGATTTGTTCTGTGTTATGTTTAAAAAAGGTAAAGGTTCCCTTGCTCAAAAGCCAGTCGAGTCGGACTCTAGGGTTGCGGTGCTCATCTCCGGTACAAAGCCGAAGACCCAGCGCTGTCCGAAGACGTTTCCGTGGTCATGTGGTCGGCATGACTAAACACCAAGGCGCACGGAATGCTGTTACCCTCCCACCGAAGTGGTACCTATTTATCTACTTGCAATTTCTTGCTTTCGAACTGCTAGGTTGGCAGGAGCTGGAACTAGAGACGGGAGCTCACTCCGTCCTGCAGCAACTCGGGTCTCGAACTGCTGAACTACTGACCTTCCACAGCCTGCAGTTCAGCGTCTTAACCACTTGAGCCACCGCAGCTCCTGGTGTTACGTTTCCTGTGGATCAATTGTTACTTTTTTGTTTGGTTTTGAGCTGCTTGCGTTTTCAGATTATATTTTCAATGATGCTTTTTACTCACTTGATGTCCGCCCAAATGGTGGCCCAGTGGGTACTGTTATTGTTTGTGTGTTTTTATTTGATATGTTAAGCTTTTGTGCTAAGCTGCCAAATACCCCTGCCCTATATATATGTATATCATACTGTCTTATCATTGCTGTGAACAGCTATAAGGAACACTCTGTTGTACAGTCCTTGGAAGTAAGTCTACTGAGTTCAGTGGGAATTACTTTCAGGTAAGTTTGCATAGATCTGCAATTTTGATAAATGTTGCGGTGATTAAAAAAAAATCAGCTTTATTCGTGCTGCCATCTGTAATTCCATTGTTTCACACAGGTAAATTCACTATCAAGCAGGATAAGAAGTCTGAAGGAAAGATAAAGTTTGCAAAACGTCTTGGAATGATAGCTGGGGGAACAGGTAAGCCATATTCCTTGATGATAGTGTGCAGTGTTCAGAGAATACGTGGGGCTGGATATATGACCTGTGTAAAACTACCTGTATAAATCATCTTGTGATCAGAAAACTAGGAGAGATAATAGTTGAGGGGTGGATTGCATATTTTATTTATTTAAAATGTTCTATGCTGCCTTTCTACCCAGTCAGGGTCCACAAGGTGGCGAACATTTAGACCATTAAAATACAGGTAAATTATAAAATTCAATGAAAAAAAACATAAACAGAACTAGAAGGAGGACCAGTACTGTTTTTGGGGGGCATGCCAGACAAAAACAAAAAGGTCTTCACCTGCTGAGAAAAGACACCAGTGGAGGGAGACAGATGAACCTCCTTGGGGAAGGAGTTCCAAAGTTCTGAGGCCACGACACAGAAGAACCTTTCTTGTGTTGCGACCCGTCTAGCCTCAGATGGCAAGACCTTCAAGGATGACCAGAGTGAGTGGATAGGTTTGTATAGGAGAAGGCAGTCCTTAAGATATGTTGGTTTTGGGTCATACAGGGCTTTAAAGATCAATACCAGCAGCTTTAATTGAGCTGGAAGCAAATTGGAAGCCAGTATAGATGAAACCAGACTGGAGTTTCTGTGAGCCACTCCAGTCAGCATTCTGGCTGCAGAATTCAGTACCAACAGGTAGTATTCAAGGGCAGCACCACATAACAATGCATTGCCGTAATCTAATCTGGATGTTACCAGGGCATGCACCACAGTGGCAAGGTCTTCTCTGCTCAGGAAGGGCCACAGCTGGCACACCAGCCAAAGCGGAAGAAAGGCACCCCGGCCACCGCTGCTACCTCCAACAGGAGGCCTGGGCCCAAGATCATCCCCCAAGCTACGAAATTGCTCCTTTAGGGGAGTGCAAGCCCATCAAGAACAGGGACCTACCCATTTCTCTGGTACAGACCTTTCCCCCGCCAATAGCACCTCTGTTTTGTCGGGATTGAGTTTCAGCTTGTTAGCCCTCATACATTCCAAAACTGCCTCCAGTCATCTGTTTGCAGTTTCTACAGCCTCTCTGGGATCTGCTGATAGTGCAAGATAGAGCTGAGTGTCATCTGCATGTTAAGAACATGAGAAGAGCCCTGCTGGATCAGACCAGTGGTCCATCTAGTCCGGCAGCCTGTCTCACACAGTGGACAACCAGTTACTACGGAGGGCCAAGGGCAGGGCATAGAGGCCGAGGCCTTCCCTTGACGTTGCCTCCTTGCACTGGCATTCGGAGGTTGACTGCCTCTCAGTGTGGAGGTTCCTGTTATTGGTGGCAGCTCAGTCCAAGGGTGATTTCCCACAAGCGCTGCTCCGCACTCACTCCTCCCTTTTGCCCTGATGGTACGTGTCAATTTCACACAAGCTGCTGCGCGGCCGCATTTTGCCTCGCAGCTTCGTGCGATTTTCCCCGCGTCTACTCAATAAAGGGAGGAGTGAGCGCGGAGCAGCGCTTGTGGGAAATCACCCCAAATCTCTCGATGACCTCTTACAGTGGCTTTACATAGGTGTTGAAAAGTATGCGGGACAAGATGTAACCCCGGGGAACCCTGTAGGACAAAGTCTAAGGGGCAGAACAGCAGTCACCTGGCACGACAGTCTGAAACCTACCCGCAACCAGGTCTGAAACCAGATTGGAATGGACTTCATTCAGGAACCTCTGAAGCTGGCCAGCTGCCACCTGTTCAGTCACCTTGCTCAAGAATGGTACATTTGAGAGTCGATGGTTGCGGTCACACGCACCAGAAAAAATGGGGTGGGGGAAGCGAGGCTATTCCCTCCGGAGGAATTTGACCTGCAGTTGCATGATCACACAGTCCTCCGGCCCACCACTGCCTGATCAGACGCAATCGCGGGTGAGTCGGGCTTTTTTTTGCCATTTGTTTCCGATGCGCTTAAACGAGGAATCGATGAATCGCATCTCCGTCCTGAGGGCTCCCTATGGAGTCTGCAATGATGCGCATACTGAGAAGGGGGAGAAAAACAACGGCACGGAGCCGGGATGGCCTGATCAGACCATCCTGACACCATTAGAGTGCGCTGGAGCGATCAGACACAGGAAAGCCCGTCCGTGGCCTGTCGCAACCCGTTTACTACCGGATTTCCCCCGGTGTCTTTTAACTCCACTTCTGTGGCGGAGCAGAACAGGTTGCCAACAGCTGTGGGGCGCTTCCCAGATGTTGTTGTCTGATCGCACCCTTTAAATCCACCTGGCATTCGCGCCTCTGTCGGGTCTAATTGTGCGTATGATCGCAGCCGATGTTGGTTATTCAGCTCTCCTGGGTCCAGAGTAGGTTTCTTTAGGAGTAGATACACCACTGCCTACTTCAACGCAGGAATGGCTACCCTGTCTTTCAGGGAGGCATTTACAGTCTCCTGGATCTAGTCTACCAGCCCCTCCCTCAGGCAGATGTAAGCAGCCAGAAGGGGCAAGGGTTGTACAAACAGCTGGTAGTTTTTAAACTTCCAAGGATCCTGTCCACATCCTAGGCTGCACAAGCTGAAAGGTATTGCACACAACTGTACAAATTGGCACTCCAGGACCATCCCAGCCCTGGATTAACCATTAAGCAAAATAAACATGTGCTTAGGGCACCAAGGGAGTGGGGGGCACCACAGAGTCCCCCCCCCAGTTATCATGCCCTTAACTCTTTCACCATCGCACTCGACTTTAGTCAATTTTTTTTGTAATTGTCCTTATCTGCCGTGTTTGACTTTAATCTGCATTGTTAAAAAAACCCCACATTTTCTTTGGCATGATGAGCGACTGACGTTTAGAAGTTTGGTTTGAAGGTGTCATCAGATATCACATTTGTTTCTGTCTCATGGCATGAGAGTTTGGCCTCTGTCGAGTGTAAAGGCTGGGTCTGGCTAGCATTTAACTCTTCAGTTGAATTGTGTAATGGACCCTTCAGCTCTTTATTTTATTATTTATTTGACTGATTTTTCACATAAACGACATAGGTTTTAGTGGTGGGGGGTGCCATGGTTGGGCTGTGTTTAGGGCATCAGTTGGCCTTAACCTGGCCCTGGACTATCCACTCCTGCTGCTGCTAATGTAGAGTCTAAATTGCACAACACTGCCGACAAGGTGAGCTACATATACCAAATGCTGTCTGAATCTACCTCATCTAAATGGAATGCTTACATAGTGAAGAAAATAATTACAATGGGTCTATCCATGGATTCTCTGTATATGTTATCTTTCACAAATGCATATTTGTAGAATCCTGTATATAGAAATGCAAAAACTAGTTAGCGATGCAAACAAAGCCTGCTCCCCCTTGAATTTCGGAATCTTTCCAACTCTTGGCCATCTGCCTTCGTACTTATCAGCCATTCACGCTCCACAATTGCGCCGAGCATTTGCACTTGCTAGATGCAATACTCTTCCATCTGCTGTTACCTATGGTAGATATCAAGGGATTCCATACTCAGCTAGACACTGTGCGTGTAATAAAAACCAAGTTGACTCTGTTTTCCATATTCTCCTACACTGTCCCCAATATGATGAGATACGTCTTACCTTTTTACATCCAATCTTATTTAATATGGTAGGCTGTCCAGACACTTTTAAGGTGCGCTACCTCTTGAATGATTTGACACCCGAAATAAGTGAAAATGTAGCCTCTTTTTTAAGTTTGGTAATCAAGGACCGTCTGCACAATGTACAGATGCATATGATTGATTCATTTCTCCTTGTTACCTATTTATCCACTTTTGTTTCTTCCTGTAACCTAACGTATGCCAATTAAGGTCTGTGTATGCAAGGCTTTTTTGGTAGAAAAAGCCCAGCAGGAACTCATTAGCATAATAGGCCACACCCAACAGCAGAAACGCATTAGCATATTAGGCCACACCCCTGACAGAGCAGCTAATTAGCATATTGGGCCACACCCCCACATTACCAGAAGTGTGGTCATTCAGCCACACCCACCTTTCCCTTCTTATTCTGTTTACCTTGTTTGTTGTCAAAACCCAGGGCCTTTTTTTGTAGCAGGAAATCCTTTGCATGTTAGGCCACACACCCCTAATGTAGCCAATCCTAATGAGTTCCTGCTGTTGGGTGTGGCCTATTATGCTAATGAGTTCCTGCTGGGCGTGGCCAACTCGGGAGCCAGCCGGGACTCCGTTCCTGTGCGTTCCTGCCCAAAAATAGCCCTGTGTGTTTGTATGTATGTATGTGAGTCTAAATCACAAGGGATGTAAGAGATTTCATCCACAGATGGCTTCGTAAAATGATCACAGTGGGCTGCAGAGCACTCCGCCTCTTCCTATCGGCCAGAACCCAATAGGCCCCTGAGCACCTGGAGGACTTCTGCAGATCTACACTGTGCAGGTGCGGTTGCCTCCATCACTGCTTGGAGTACGCTTTCAAATGAGTTCTGGCCTGTGCCTTTTCAGATTAGTCCTGAGTCTTTCTCCACCTTCACTCTGGCGGACTCCCGACTTCAGAGAGGGTGCCTAAGTGCAATAGGGTCAGTTGCCCGTGTCATGTCTGCATTCCAGAGGTCAACCAGGGCATCGACAGGAGCACCGTCCATGTCAGAAGGAGAATTCCCCAGTGCCTGTCTGACAACTTATCAGATCTCTCAGGCTATGGGAGTGGATCATTTTAATCCATCCTTCACCTCTGCGGAGTTGTGATAGCAGATTTGTTGTTGTTGTTCAGTCGCACAGTCGAGTCCGACTCTTCGTGACCCCATGGACCAGATCCCGCCAGGCCTTCCTATCTTCCGCCGTCCTCTGAAGTTGGCTCAGTTTCATGTTCGTTGCATCTATGACACTGTCTAACCATCTCATCCTTTGCCGTCCCCAACTTCTTTGACCTTCAGTCTTTCCCAGCATCAGGGTCTTCTCCAGTGAGTGCTCCCTTCTCATTTAGTGGCCAAAGTATTTGAGCTTCAGTTTCATTATCTGGCCTTCCAGGGAACAGTCAGGGTTGATTTCTTTTAGCATTGACTGATCTGATCTTCTTG